GCCCCGCTGGCCCCCCCCCCCCCCCCCCCCCCCTCCTTACAGAAGTAAGACAGGTCGGGCATTTGGACCATGAGGACCTGGATGGCCGCAAAGATGATGGCCCACTTCCAGTAGGAGTCGAAGCAGTCAGTCGCGCCCTGGGCCGCACAGATGGACTTGGCTACAGTCCTAAATGAGAGGATTGGGGGGGGGGGGGGTGGGATGGAGGAATTCTGTGAGAATGCCCACAAACAAATAGAGCAGGCTGTGGGGTGGTTTCGTACAGGGGCTGAAGCGTGGACGGAGGTGTGGCTCCCGGGAAGAGATGAGGTACCGCACAAGGCAAACTCCTAAAACAGCAGCATCCCCGCCTCAACCCCACGCACTGCAGCGAGAGTCCGCCGGTGATCTGGTAGGCCAACGCCGTGAGCACCAGGTTGGAGTGCTGCACCCTGAGAGGAGGGAAGCACAGAGGTGTGGGCTGGTGAGCGTAAGGTCTGCATGAGGCTGTGACCCTCCCAATGCTTGCAGGCCACGACAAGTCAGTAGCAGCCACGGCCGAGAAACGCACCATCCGATGGTGAGGTAGCCCCAGCGGCCAAATGTGGTCTCTACCACGTTGGTGTAGGTGCGCTGGCGCAGGCCGTTGATGACGCCGCAGTCTGCTAGTAGCTGGGAGGTGTACAGGGTGATGCTCGCAAACAGGCCCAGGCAGAGGGGACCCGCCACCCATCCCAGCATGGAGATGGCATAGGGCAGGGACAGAACTCCAGCCCCAATCACGGCCGTGATGGTGTGTCCCACAGCCGTGAAGGTGTTCCTGCGGGGAAGGTGGGGGAGGAAAGTGGTTGGGAGGTGTTGCCGACTAGTCCCGGAGGCCGCCGGCACCGCAAGGGCTTTCCCGAGCCCAAGCGCGCAGGTGATGGTGGGATGGTCCACACGAAAATGTGGCCCTGAAAGCCATCAAGTGTCGACCGAATGAGGCCGGGAGCCTTCCAAGCTCACCCAGAGCGGGGAACGCCGTCGTCGATAACGTCGTCGGTGCCGGACAGAGACCCTTTCTCCATGGAGGCATGCTTGACAAAATCCTCATGGTGCATAGATGTACGTGCATATTGTTGGTCTCCAAGAGGTTTCGGAGCAGCTGCCGATATGCGGGCAAGGTTTTGGGACACCTTGTGGATGAGCTCCGCCATGCTGCCGGCTATGTGCCAGACCGCTGAGTCCTACGTCGACCACTGAAAATGGTTTGTTGTAAGCAAAAATGTTTTAAGAGCGGTGTTGGGAGCTACGACAGGCGACTTGGCTAGGTGTTAGGTGGATAGTGGATATCTCGGAGACCCCGCGGACTGAATCTGCTCCTAGGGTTGGGCTGCAGCTGAGGGTTTGCTCCAGCACCGCGCAGCGGTGTGTGGTCAGGGCGCAGACACAGGGAGGGCCCTGATATCATAAGAGAGACACATAACGGCCGCGTTCCGGCTATGGAGAGCTCTCAATACTCGGGCTACATCGAGGTCTGCCTCTCAGTCCGACGCAGCCCCGCGGCCTCGGCATAGATCGGGTGGCGGTCCGTCAGCTTACGTGTACTTTTCAAGATCTTCTGATCGCGAAGCCCATCGGATCTCAGCAAGTTCGTCGCATGCGATGACAGTTATTTGTATTGTGCGACCGAGCGCTTACTGCTGTTGGTGTGGTCTGGGGGCGTGCCGCGAGCCCTCCGTGGCCCAGCCCCACGGGGATCTGACCAGTAAGTAAGATGGGCTTATCCTGAGCTGCGGTCTCACGCAGCTCGGTGCAGAAGTCATCCTGTTCACATGAACGTGAGCTCTACCTACTTTGCACTATCTGCGGTGCGATTCGCCGGCGAGAACATCAGGAGGGAACACTGCCGGTGCTCGGGAGTCGGAATTCCCCGAACGCTGGTATCGCCTCAATATTTATAACCTTCCTGGGCGCAAACCCCGACAGGATGCAGTCCTCATCATTTCGATTAGTCACTTTAGACCCCCGTTACATGCGTAGCTCATAAATACCAGGAATTGCAGAGAAAGGACGTGTTAAGAGACGACAGATGGCATGCCATGAGGTAGAGAAACCAACTCCCCCTAACAAGAATTCTGTAGGAGATAGTGCGAGCAACTCCTCTCAAAGCCAATCTGAACGGTTTGAGATAGTAAAGAGATTGTTATGGCTGCTCCATGCCAGCCTCACAGTAGCTGCCGGCATATTCTATGCAAATGTTTACCCCAATCGCAAAGGACATAATCGTGTACTTGCCATGCAGGCAGCAGGTTTGGGTCAATGGAGAGGGGCTTATGGTTTCACAGAAGGCTGCTGCGTTGACCTGTGCAGTGGGGCAGATCTCCTGCTGATAAGAGAACTGGAGTAGGTGCTTAGTGAAGATCCAAGTCCTAAATGCGTGGGGGCTATCATATCAAGCCGGCGAGAGTATGGGGTCCAGTCTAAGGGAACATCTTCCCAGTAAATTGCGTCACAGAGCAGGGAACTCATGTTCAAGTAGTTTGTCGTGCCACCAGTCCTTCAAGTCCACGGTGGGCGCGACTTTGGTTCACAGCCGAGCCATGTCCTCGGCAGCATGCACAGCACGACACTGCCCTCTGTGGTATTTCGCTATGCTAAGGAGCAGGAGAGGCTTCGTGGGCAATAACATTATGTGTCAAAATCAAAATCTTAAATCACTGATTTAGACTGCGATGGAGTACGTGAATACGGTGGGGCTGCGGCTTGATGGGAGGCGCCCAAATGAGATACGGCAGCTCCGAGCCGAGATGAGCACCCTGGCATCAGCGGACGGGTCTGCGACTTTTGAGATGGGGAACACCAAGGTATTTCAGGTGTAAAAGGGATTGAATACACGTAGTGATCGCTCCAAGAAGACTCCATGCCCCGACACCTGAAGCACCCGTCCGCCGTATAGGTGCTGGCGGCAGTATACGGTCCTCGAGAGGCCAGCAACAGGGCCCAGACGGACACCTCCAAGGCCACTGTGCGGTGTGAATACTCCATGGCCGCTTTCAGTTCAGGTGAGCTCTCGGTGCTTGAGTTGCGCGGAGGACCAGGACAGGCGGTAGCTCCGACTGTCAACTGGGTCTTGCCCTCCGGTGGGCTATGGGGTCCTGAGCCCTCATCACACCAGTAACATACTCGCAGGGGAGCGGCGCAGGCGCGGCAAGTCTGACCGCCGGGCCACCGAGACGTCGCTGGCCATAGCCAACACGTTGGAACAGAACATCCTGACAGAGCTCCTGCCCCGGACACAAATAGACATCTATGTGCAGGTCGGCCTAGCATGGGGGTGGAGGGCTGCATGCAATCTTGTGCCTACTGTGCTCCTCTACTGCATGGGCCTGGCTGGAAGCTGCCCCTTGATACCTTGGAGGGATGGTTCTCGCCTCCCACCTCCGACTGGATTCAGTCCCCCCCCCCCCCCCCAAACTGTCCAACCCCTCATCCTCCAAAGGTCCTACAAGCCGACGGGGGCATGCGATGCGCCGCCATCAACGCAGCCTTCCTTGCCCTGGCAGACGCCGGCGTCCCCATGCGGGACAGCGTGGCTGCCTGCGCGGCGGGGTACCTCGACGGCACCGCCCTGTTGGACCTCAATTACACCGAGGATGGCGGTGGCGGCCCGGAGGTGGCAGTGGCCCTGCAGACTGGGCTGCACCAGGTGCTGATGCTGCAGACCGACAGCAAGTGAGCACTCTGGAGGAGGTTACAGATTGTCATGAGGCAGGCGTAGGGTACAGGGGGCTGGATTGGCACGACTGACAGGAAGGTGACGATCAGGCGCGCCGCTATCTTTCCTGAAGAGCCCCAGGCCGGACGACGTTGTGCAATCAGTCCCACTGTCATGTGCGCATGTGCAACCCCCGGCGCACCAATCTTCTCTCCCCACAACCGCTCCCAGGCTCAGCATGGAGGTGTTTGAGGAGGTGGTCGAGCTGGCTAGCAACGGGTGCAGGGCGGTGGCGGAGTTCCTCAGGACGACGCTCCTGGCGCATGTGGGGCGGCTGAGCCTCGCCACTTCCATCGCCAAGTCGGAGGCCTGATGACCTGGCGGCAGGCCTGAGTGCAGTGCACCCTTGACGTGACAGCCTTGTACATATCACCTGACGCTGATCAGAGTTTATCTGGGGGGGGGGGAGGGCTGGGCCATGCCTGGCGCTCCCGGTGTGGGGCGTGCCAGGGCACAGCCTCAGCGTTTGCCGCAGCGCCTCGCATGGCGATCGGTGGTAAGCCTCGCATGGGGTCCGCAGCAGAGTCTCACGGTGAGTGCGCTACTCCAGCACGGCCTCGCGGCGGCCGGGCTGGGCCTGCAGCGCCGTCTCCGCCAGCGCCCGCCCCTCGCCGGCAAGTCGGTCGCCCGGCTCCAGCGCCAGCGCGTGCTGGAAGGCGGAAAGCGCGGCACGCGGGTGACCCAGGCCGAGCTGGGCCGCGCCGAGGCAGGCCCAGGCGCGGCCCGCGCCGGGGTCCAGGGAGGTCGTGCTCCTGGCGTCTTCCAGCGCGCCCTCATGGTCCCTGCGGAACAAGCGGATGGCGCAGCGCAGGTCGTAGAGGCCGGGGTTTTGCGGGGAGGCGTCCAGCGCGGCGCAGGCCTGGCGCTCCGCCGCCGCATAGTCCCGCAGGCGGAGGGCCAGCAGGGTGCGGTTGGTGGCGGGGTGGCAGGGGCCCTGTGTCAGGCCCTTTATCTGGGGGAAGGGGGGGGGGGGGATTTGGCAAGGGAGTTGATGAGAGGCAACGAACCATGGCGCTGAGCAGCCGTGGGGCCTCTTGGCGACAATGCATGGGCCGCGCACCAAGGGCGGCTTGTAGTGCTGTGACAGCTGCTCCCAGCTACTGTGGGTGCCCTCCATGCACGTCGTCAGGTCCAAAAGGGCGACTTGTCGAGATTGATACGAGATACGTCCCGGCCATTAAGCGTGACTTCCGGATGCACATCGTTGACATCCTCGATCGTGACATGGCTCGGCTCGAAGGGTCGTGACTTGTCCTCTTCCCGATGGCCCCACCATGCATGGAAGCGATCTCGTCTTGGCGCCGTGGCGCGTCATCATGTGCGATTCCGCGATCGCCGGATCCCTTTCCTCAGACCCGTACAGAAGTCGCTGAAATTAAATCCAGATCCTACACCCCGGCATCTGACCGGTCCCAAGGGAGGACGGAATTGAGCATGCTCTGATCCGAGACCGCCAGGCGCTGCACCTTGCCGGTCGCAGGAGGCACCCACAATGTTCCAACCAGGCGCTGCTGAGCCCCTGCGGCTGAACATGGAGCCACTCTCCAGCGCCGGATCCCTGCGCCGTCCTTCCCAGGCTCTCACCGCTGAGCCTGTGGAGCCCCTGCCCGAGAGGTGGCAAGCGGCCCTTCGCAACTTGGACACAGCCAGCACATGCGCAGACTCGCTTGCCTCTGCCCTCGACGAGGCCCTGTACCTCGACACCATGGAGTGGCAACGAGCCGTTCCCGCCAGCCAGCAGCACCAGGCCAAGCAGGTGGGGTGTTCGGCTGGCTCAGGGGGTCCTGAGAGTGTGCTGAGTGATTGCTACCATGAGCAGGAGTTTGTCTGAAATGGTTCATGAATATCGGTCTGGCCCATCAGCTCAGGACCTTGCATTTGCAAGCACCTGGACACAAACCCACCATTCCCTGAAAACCCCAACTCCAGTCCCTGCTGAATCGAGTGCGAGCCCTGGAAACCCTCCTGACCGATTGTCGGGGGAACCTGGCAGCAAGCGAGAAGCTGCGACGGGAGGGCGAGGCCCGCGTGCAGGAGCTGGAAGGGGAGCTGGAAAATAACGCCAAGGTGTTTCGCCTCCACTATGAGGCGCTGCTGGACAAGGACCAGACCATCTCCGACCTCCAGGCCGTCATCGCCGCCCTGTCCCTGGGAAGCATGGATCAGCAGGCCGAAGGCGGGCCAGGGAGGACACAGCGATGATGCGTCGCGTGCATGCCGCCACGCGCTGAGCGCCGTTCTCGGTTGCCTTCCACTGTGCAGATTGGAAGTGTGTAGACTCCCGCCGACGTCTGGATCGCAGCGTGTACATGGCAGCGGTTGTGATTGGGGATGGGCCATGCCAGGCTGGCATGATCCCGGCAAGATGAGCATCGGATGAAAAGGGGGCAAAGAATGGTGTCTCGGGACGTGAGTGGTAGTCCACTCTGAGAGCGGAAAGCAGACGGAGCACTGCTCATGCTCAGTGGGGTTGGGTGGCGAGGAACCTGGGCACACAGCGCACAGACGGGAAGGCGCCGGGCTGCCAAAGGGTTCCTGGGGCGAGCTCGTGTGCAGTGGCTCTACGCGCTGAAGCGCCAGGCGCACTCCTGGGCGCGAGGACACCCTGTGCGAGAGGGTCGCCCCCGACTCCAGAGTCGCGCTGGCTCAATCCCCGAAGGAGGCGACGGCTGCCTGTGCCTGCTCCAGCTTCTGCTTCTTCTGCACCAGCTTGAAGGCCTCCAGACGGTCGCCTGCCTCCCAGCCGTGGAAGTCCGGCACCGACACGCCGCACTCCGTCCCCGCGGCCACGCTGGCCACGTCCTCCTTGACGCGGCGCAGGGAAGTCAGCGTGCCTTCGTGCACCAACGTCGCGCCGCGCCAGACGCGCAGGCTGGCACCCTTGCGCAGCGCGCCCTCGGTGACCTCGCAGCCCGCGACGCGGCGCGCTCCTCCGCCGAAGGTGGCCTTGACCACCGCCTCGCCCAGGGGCACGGTCTCCTGCACGCTGGTCAGCCGGCCCTCCATCGCGGCGCGCACGTCGTCCACGAGGTCGTAGATGACGGAGTAGGCGCGCAGCTCCACGCCCGCCTGCTTGGCGGCCAGCGCCGCGGCCTCCCCCGCCCGCGTCTGGAAGGCCAGCACCACGCCGCCCGAGGCGGAGGCCAGCGCCACGTCCGACTCGCTCACCTCCCCCGGCGCGGCCAGCAGGTAGCGCAGCACCACCGCGCCCTGGGGCAGCGCCGCCAGCGCGCCACGCACTGCCTCCACGCTGCCACTGGCGTCGGCCTTCAGCACCAGGTTCATGTGCATCAGCGCCTGGCCGGCGCCGGCGCCGCCATCCCCGGGCCCCCCCGGCCCCTCCTCGTCCCCGGAGTCGCTGCTGGCCAGGCTGGACAGCGTGACCATGGAGCCCCCGGAGGCCAGGTCGGCGAGGCGGTCCAGGCGCCGCGAGTCGCGCGCCAGCGAGGCGGCGGCGCGCGCCGCCGCCTCGCTGGCGTGCACCGTGAACTCGTCGCCGGCAGTGGGCACCTCCGACAGGCCCAGCATGGCCACGGCTGTGGAGGGGCCGGCGCTGTCCACCGCGCCCCCCGCGCTCTGCATGCTCCGCACCTGTTACAGGTTGGGTGGAGGGTGGGTGTGCGGTGTGTTGTGGGGGTGCGCTGGGGCGACGGCCCGGAAGCCAGCCGGTTGCTGCTCCCCAGATCACGCCCTTGTGTTCCCCGATCAGGGTCACCACGCCCACCGGCCTTCACTCCCCTCCTGCACAAACCCCACGCCATCCCCCCATCGACCACCCCGCCCGACTCCCTCACCCTTCCGTAAGCCTGGCCTGCGGCCACCATGTCGCCCAGGCGCAGCGTCCCAGTCTGGACGAGGAGGGTGGCGCAGGCGCCCTGGCGCCGGTCCATGCGCGCCTCCAGCACCGTGCCCAGCGCGGGGCGGTCCGGGCAGGCCACCAGCTCCTCCAGCTCCGCCACCAGGAGCACCACCTCCAGGAGCCCGTCGATCCCCGTCCCGCGCTTGGCCGAGATCTCCACCACGGGCGTCTTGCCACCCCAGGCCTCCGGCACCAGGTCCTCCGCCGCCAGCTCCTGCATGACCCGCGGCACATCCGCCCCCGGCTTGTCCACCTTGTTGATGGCCACGACTATGGGCACGCCCGCCGCGCGCGCGTGCGCCGCCGCCTCCCGCGTCTGCGGCCGCACGCCGTCGTCGGCGGCTACCACCAGCACCGCGACGTCGGTCACGCGCGCGCCGCGCGCGCGCATCGCCCCGAAAGCCTCGTGCCCCGGCGTGTCCAGGAAGGTGATGGCGCGGCGCTCGCCGCCAGAGTCCACGGCGCAGGTGTAGGCGCCGATGGACTGCGTGATGCCGCCCGCCTCCCCCGCCGCCACGCGCGTGCTGCGGATGTGGTCCAGCAGCGAGGTCTTGCCGTGATCAACGTGCCCCATCACCGCCACGACTGGCGGGCGCGGCACCGCCACCTCGTCCTCGTCCAGGGACAGGTCCAGCGACTTGACCGCGCCAGACGCCACGTCGGCGACATCTCGATCCAGCACCTCCACCCCGTACTCCTGTGAACAAGCGAGGAAGGGAGAGAGGGGGGGTGGGGTATTCAAATGTGAACCCCCTGAGGCTAGGCTCCAGGGTGCGGGGGGCGGGGGGCGGGGCCATGAGATCGAGCAACTTGGCAAGGGGGCGCCAGCAACGGGGGCCACTGCCAGGTGGGGAGGGGACTTTGGCCGGCAGACGCTCGTGCTCAATGAGCGACCGGAAAACAACAGCCAATCACACCCACACCCTACCTTGCCCACGGCCTTGACGGTGTCGGGGTCCAGGGTGGCGTTGATGGCCGCCATCACGCCGTTGAGGAAGAGGTACTTGACCACGTCAACCGCGGGGATGGCCAGCATGGCCGCCAGGTCGCCCACTGCCATGCCCTCCGGCCCGACCTCAAATATTTCCTGCGGTGTGGAGAGGGGCAAGGGGGCCAGGGGAGGGTTGGGACAAGATTCTGCAAGGCAGCTAGCCGCCGTAGGGACCTCCCCAGGGTCTGCACCGCCAGCGCGATTAAGACCGAGCCGGGCAATCCCGTTACCCAGTACACATCCAAAGCATGACTCACCTCTCGGACCGCCACATTGGCCAGCCTCTCCTCGCGCCGCTCCGACCGACGGTTCAGGCGGGCGCGCCTCCTGGAGTCCAGGTCCACCCACTCCTGCTTTTTCTCCTTTTCCTGGGGTATGGAGGGGCCAGGGCCCCCCTTACCCCGCCCGTTCTGCGCAGTACCTGCGGGATGCGGGGGGGGGGAGCGTACTGCTGCCGGCGATGGCGAGGAGACAATCAACCCCATTTTGGGAGATCTGGACGTAACATCATCAGGCATGCAAGGTAAAAGAGCCCACCGGATTCCAGGAGCCCTTGCACGCTCGCAAACACCGCACCATTTGATGCGGCCTGCGGCGATTCTGTGGCAGCTGGTGTGATTGGCACTGGAGGATTGCGGCTGGGCGGTCGAGTGTTGTAGGCCCCCCTGGCCTGCCGGCCCCTGTTGGCCGTCTGGGACGCGCTCCTCTGGTATGGCTGGCCCGAGCTGCCATTGGAAGGCTGCTGGGGAGAGCCAGGCGGCCGCGTGCCGCCTGGGGGCGGCCTGGCACCCCCAGGCGGGCCCCTGTTGTTGGGTCTTCGGTCTGGGCGCGTGCCAGGCTGGCCCCTGGGTGCTCCCTCGGGGCCCCTCCGCTCGCCGGGCCGTGAATCGTCCCCTGGAGTGTACGACGGCGGGGCGCGGTAGATGGGGGCGGGGCGCCGGCTGGGCGGGGGCTTCAGGGTTACCGGGGCGGTGGGGGCTTCTGACGCCTCGGGCTCCCGCCGATTGGCAGGCTCGGCCTGGGACTCGAGCGTGGTGTGGCATCTAATGCAGCGGTAGCTCTGCTTGCTGCGCCGCAGGGGGACCAGCACCCCGCGGAAGGGAAAGAGGTTCCCCGTGGGCGCGAGGCGTGAGGCCACACCCACGGCGGTCGTCGGGCAGGGCGACATCATGCAACATGACATCGTCAGTCTGAAAGTGTGGAAGAGTCTGAATACTAGCACCGCGCGGATGGATCAAACATGCGCAGGTGGGTCCCGACTGTGTGGGTGGAACCTCGAGACCACTTGGATAATGCCAGGCTGGCCTCAAGGCGCCCTGGGTTGAGGAGGGTGTCTCCTCGCTTCACCGGACGTCGATCCACCATCGCGGCATCCCGCCACATCTGCATTCCTCATTGATCCCTCCAGAACCCTGTCCAGGTCCCGCTCCTGACCCGAAACCAGCGCTCTCTGTCTCTGAGCAGGGGCACCCCACCCACAGCGCCCGGAGAGGGCGGGTATGGCCTCCCAGGGGGCCTGCATCGGCATGCAGGGACACGGTACGGAGACAAGGGAGCGCATTGAGTCGGAAGACTGGCTATCCATCATTCTCATGCGCTTGTCATTGTCCGCCTCATCACATTGGGCCCCACATCCGACACACCCGCAGTCTCGCCTACCTCCCGAACCTGCTTCACTCCTCCCACCCACCGCGCCTTCGGCGCCCGCCGCCCCTCCGCTCCCCGGCCCCTCCCGCCCTGCAACGCCATCGGCGTGCCCCGGGTGCCGTACCGGGTGCCCAAGCAGAACCAGTGGCTCTGGGTGGACATCTGGAACTGCCTGTACCGCGAGCGCATCATCTTCCTCTCCAAGGCCGTGGACGACGAGCTGGGAAATCAGCTGGTGGCCACCATGCTTTACCTGGACTCTGAGAACAAGAAGGACCTCAACCTGTACATCAACTGCTCCGGGGGTGAGGTGATGCCCTGCTTGGCGCTGGCCGACACCATGCGCCACATCAAGAGCGATGTGGGGACGGTTGGCTTTGGTGGCGCCATGGGCATGCCAGGCTTCCTCCTGGCAGTGGGCAAGAAGGTGAGGAGGGCAGGAAAGGGTGTGTATGCAGAGGGAGAAGGTCGGGATTCTTGAAGAGGGGTGGCGTCTTGGCACTGAGGTTGCGGGTTACCCAAGGCGGGAAGGAGTGGAGGCTCGAGAGCGTCAGTGAGAAGTGCATGGGGAGGAAGGGTCATCCCCTCTACCTGGTCTGAGGAGTGTGCTTGGGGCCTTGCAGGGGCCGGCGAGTGTCGGTGCCGTCCATGCGACATCACACTTGCTGCTGCTGCAAGCTCCAGTGAACCCCACACGATTAGACTCTGTTTCCTCCTGCTCCGCTTCGCAGGGCAAGCGCGTGGTGCTGCAAAACACGAGGATCATGCTGCACCATCCCTCTGGCGTGGCTCGGGGCCAGGCCTCGGACATCAACCGCGAGGCGCAGGAGCTGCTGAAGACGCGGGACTACATGAATGCCGTGCTGGCAGAGGCCACCGGCCAGGACTTTAACACGGTGAGGGAGTCGGTGTGGCCAAGCACGGCATGCCTGAGAGGAGGGAGGAGTTTGCCACCTGGGGGACGCACGGGACCTGGCGCCGTCAACATGCGATGCTTGGTGCACGTTCCCCATTACAAGCATCGCGCCCCCGCATCCGCAGGTGGCCCGCGACTTTGCGCGGAACAAGTACTTTGACGCGGATGAGGCCAAGGAGTACGGGCTCATAGACCAAGTGGTGAAGCCCAAGCGGAAGTCCATTTTCAACTGAGGAACAGAAAATGATGCTGTGCCCTGGATGGTGGTGACCCTGCTTGGATGTAAAGGCCGACCTCCATTCTCTCAGAGAGGGTCTGCACCCTGCAGAGGAGAGACCTCCCGTTTCGATTTCGCGACTTTCCACCAAACTTTTGAGGGAAGGGGTCCCTCTCCCCTCCCACCACCTCGGCATCGAACATCACGACCTCCACATCCACCTCCACGTCCCGTCTGTGCGACTTCTGGCCTCCACGCTGGGCAAAGATTCCGTCCGAGTGGCCCCTCCCGGGTTGCTCCCCTTGCTCGCAAGATAGGACGCCTCCCGCTCCTAGCCCCTGTCGGCTCCTTCCATTCACCATCGGGTCTTGTCATGCTCCATATCAACGCCAGGGCCTGTTCCGGAGCCCTGTAAATCGGCGCGGGAGCCGCCCTCCATTTGACCGAGACCCACAGGGCGTGGTGACGCCTGCAGGCACACGGCGCGATGTCGCTGGGCAGAGGCGGCAGGGTGAGCATCGTGGTCTTGGTTGTCGAAGCTGCAACATGCACCTCGCCCGCTGTGTGCGTGTGCCTCACCTCCCCGGCCCTGATCACCCCCCCACCTCCGCAGCTGAAGCTGGACATGTTCACCCATCCGGTTCGGAAGAATCTGGATCACTCATACTTTGGTGCGTCGTGAGTTTCGGGGGTCTGCATGGCTGGATTGCGGCTCCTCCTGGGGACTGCCCTCCTTGCTCACGCCCAGACCCATGGCCTGGCGATGCAGACACAAACTGGGCGCTACTGGAGAACGCCATCAAGGAGATCAACAACCACAATGCCAGCCGGCTCAGCTTCGAGCAGCTGTACCGGTGAGGGCGCGACCCTGGCTGGCTGGGGTTGTTCCATCGTGGATGTCTGGCCTCGCCCTCCGCTGCTGCCACGCGCTGAGCATGCCCCTCCTCACCGCTACCGATGCCGACCCCCCGCCGTCCTCCGTCCCCTGCGCTCTCACCAAACCTTCTCCTCCCCCCTCCAACCTCACCGCACAGCACCGCCTACCAGCTGGTGGTGGACAAGTTTGGGCACCGGCTGTACGCCGCCGTGCGCGAGGCGGAGGCCGAGTACCTGCGCGGCGTGGCGGAGCGCCTGGACCTCCTGCCCTCCCCCTCCTTCCTCCCCGGGCTGAAGTACGAGTGGGAACGGCACATGAAGAGCATGGGCGTCATCCGCGCCTTCCTCCTGTACATGGAGCGCATGTACATCCCCAACCAGCCCCAGCTCGCGCCGCTGAACCAGCTGGGGCTGGACCTGTGGCGCGACGGCGTCGTCCGCGCGCCGCGCATCGCGCCGCGCGCGCGCGCGCTGCTGCTGGAGGCCGTCGCGCGGGACAGGGGGGGCGAGCTGGTGGACGCCTCGCTGCTCAAGGCCATCACAAGCATGTACATGGACCTGGGGCCCGTGGTATACCGCGACGACTTTGAGACCCCCTTCCTGGAGCAGACCTCCCTGTTTTACGCGGTGAGCGGGGAGCACGCGGGAGGGGGGTGGTGGGGGCAGCTGGAGTTCTCAGAAAAGGAGGCTCTTGAAGCCAGAGGGTGGAGGGGGGAAGGGTATGGTGGTGCATGCGGGAGTCTGCGTACAGGATGAGGTGCCTGGGTTGGATTCAGCCCATCGCTGTGACGTTGCCGATTCCCATGACCAGCGGCCCCCCAAGCGCTGATCCCCCGTCAACCTCCTCATCCCCACCGGTGATCGCAGGCGGAGGCCGCGTCGCTGCTCCAGGCGGCCGACTGCCCCGCCTACCTGGCCGCCGCGGCGCGGAGGCTGGAGGAGGAGCGCGCGCGCGCGCAGGCCTACCTCTGCCCCGCCTCCGCGCCGCGCCTGCTGGGCGCCGTGGAGCGCGCGCTGATCGGCGACCAGCTCCCCGCCCTGCTGGATCTGCCCGGCACGGGGCTGGTGCCCATGCTGCGCGCGCGGCAGTACGACGACCTGCACGTCCTGTACCGGCTGGCGGCGCGCGTGCCGGGCGGGCCTGTGCTGGTGCAGGAGGCGCTGGGCGCGCACCTGCGCGAGGCGGGCAAGGCGCTGGTCACCGACCCGGAGCGGGCCAAGGACCCGCTGGCCTTCGTGCAGCGCTTGCTGGAGGTGGGGAGTTGGTGAAGGGTGATGGATTGGGAGGGTCAAGGGGTTGGGGGTGGGGGGGAGGTGGGGGGGGATCAGGGGAGGGGAAAGGGGTGGGGGGGATGGGCGGGAGAGGCCGGCTGCGGGCTGGGGTCGCAGAACTGTGAGGCCCCGGTCCTCCCGGGTCAGTGTGTGTGAGTTTGGGAGCTGGTTCCTATGCATTACTAGGCTCTGGAATCCAAGGTTGGCTGGCGTCTCGGCGCCGCGTGTGCAGTCGCGAGGTCCTTTCTTGCGCACTCACCTTCCCCACGCACCCTTCCTGCCGACGCCCAGGAGCGTGATGTCTGGGAGAACCTGGTCGACAAGGCGTTTGCCGGGGACAGGCAGTTTGTGTACACTGTCAACCGGGTGAGGGGGGGGCGTGCGGCAAGGCTTTGCAGTGTGGGGGACTTGGGAGGAGAGGGTCTCTGTCACTCATTGCTGCTGGTTCCTTGCCCGCGCTTGCGCTGGAGCCGCCGCGTGAGCTGCTGCGGCTCAATCCCCCCCCCAAAAAAAAGAAAGAAAGAAAGAACCCTTCGCCCACCACCCTGCCCAGGCCTTCGAGGCGTTCCTGAACCTTAACCCGCGCTCCCCGGAGTACATCTCGCTGTACATGGACGACAAGCTGCGCCGGGGTCTCAAGGTGGGGGGCTTTTGTCGTGGGATGTGGGGGGCTTGTCGGTGGCGTCCCCATCAGAGCCCTCCTGATGTACCCCACCACAACCCCCTGCCCACCACCACTCCTGGACAGGGGACCAGCGAGGAGGAGCTGGAGTCGGCCCTGGACAAGGCCATCCTGCTGTTCAGGTTCCTGCAGGAGAAGGACGTGTTTGAGCGCTACTACAAGCAGCACCTGGCCAAGCGCCTGCTGCAGGGCCGCATCTCCTCCGACGACGCAGGCATGGCGGGGAAGAGGTCGTGTGTGAGAGGAAAGGGGGGATGGTGTGTGGAAATCGCTCAGAAAGCCCTTGTCTAGGTCAGGAGGGAGCCGTTCCTGAATCCCAGGTGTGGCGGACGGTTGCACGCCCGCCCGCGCCACACTCTCCTCCCCCGGCCTGGTCTCACGACTCACGCTTTCCTCACGCCCATACCCTCTCCAGAGCGCTCGCTGCTGGTCAAGCTGAAGACGGAGTGCGGGTACCAGTTCACCTCCAAGCTGGAGTCCATGTTCACCGACGTCAAGACCAGCCGCGACATGATGGCCGAATTCCGGGCGCACCCCGCCGCCTGCGCCGGCAACCTGGAGCTGGACCTCTCCGTCCAGGTATCCAAGGGTGTCGGCTGGGTGTCAGGACAGGGGGGTTGGGGCTGCTGTGGGGCTTTCGTTCGGGTCGGGGAGCCGGCCTTGGAGCGGCATCATCCTGCTGTCTGACCCTGCGTCGCGGACCGCGCACAGCCCCGACGCCAACTCCCCCCCCCCCCACACACACACACTCCTTCCCTCCTCCCTAACCGCACGCAGACGGTGCAATCCCTGATGCACAAGCTCCTGCTGCACCTCGTGTCGGAGCTGCGGCGGCTGGGGGGCACGGTGGTCCAC